ATATTTAAAAAATGTAGTTTATATATTTATAAAATAAAGATAATAATACTGATCCTGTAGAAGTGAAATTTAATTCATGTTTTGACAGCAGTGCTTATAATATGAACTCCCGTAAATTAACTAGGTGTCCAAATATTTTCGTATTTTGAAGTAATACACAAATTAATAACCATCAATACAAACAAATAAATATATTTTAAGATAAATAAAGCTTCTTGAGCAGTTCATATATYTTAAGATTAGATTTGTTTAGTAATAAATTATTAGGGATRAATTACTAGGGATGAGAACTTATTGGAGCTAAAATAAACAAAATATGCATGTAAATGCAAGGAAAAATTATAATATATGCATCAAAATTTGAAAATATGCAAAACATATATTATAATATGCAATTTTTTCTATAAATAAAAAAACATGTTTACAATAAATTAATATAAATAATATTTCGTTAAATTTGATTCTATAAAAATATAAATAATTTTTAACTGTGTGATAAAAAATTAATACTAGGATTAATACTAGGTATATAAATATGAGATAATAAATGATTGGTTGGTGTATTGATTATATATTGATAGTCAGGTGATTTAATCCCTAAATAACCTGTAAATTTGTTGCATTGAACTACCAAAGTTTTTTTAATATTTTCGACATCCAATCTCTGTCCTCTGACGATTTTCCAAAAGAATATTTTTGTATTGCGAAAAACTTCTTTCCACATCAACTGAAGTTATGGGGGCATACWTGAAGTAAATAMGGTMATTTCYGGTTWAGTCTTCTGGCAATTCGTCCATAGATGTGATTTATTCAATAAATGATACTAATTCTAAATTTACTTTTATATACTATTAAATGTTATTGGTTATTGACTACAAACTTATAAAATTCAATTAAATAATAAATAATTTTACTAAATATGCATTTTTATGCACAAAAAAACATGAATATTATGTAACTTTTAAGAAAACTACCAATATATGCAAAAATATGCAAAATTTCAATTCATTAGGTTATAGAATAGATTTTTAGCTCACCTAGCTATAAATAGGAGATATAGAAAAAAATATGCAAATCCTATAACTTCTCATCCCTAGTAATAATGTATAACTATAGGTTATGTAATAAATTATGATTTACAAATGTTTTCTTTGTCATTAGTTTCTTTATCATCTTATACACATAGGTATATATATATGTTGTTATGTACATACTACATACTGTTGTAGGTAAAATACGTGTAATATAACGTATCAACTTCTTGTGAATCTATATTTATATAAATGTATTTATTTACACAAAATTATTTGTTGGGTTATATTTGTAAGTACTAATATTATTTTAAATTGGTCTATATGTTTATTAAATGGATACAATGAACAAAGAATACTATGTGCACATTTTGGACGTATTAAATAGTATTAAACACCATTACAGAGTTGGAAAGTTTTTTTTTTTTTTATAGATTCGAGCATATTATGCTATTTGGGTAAACCCCCGAATTATTTGTCCAATCGAACTAAAAAATTAATATTGCATATAAAATCTGAATATTTTTCTAGTTACAGAAATTTTATGATTTTAAAGATTTAATTTGAACAATGTCTATATTTTTGCTATTAATGTTTTTGACCTTTTCGATTTTATTTATCAGAGCTAATTGTTTTATTGAGGTTAATATAATKATCTACAATTGATATTTATCGATTTAATTTTAAGCAAGACTATAAATGCATTTACTGGGATCAACTTTAGCCGATACTTTTAAATTTTGGAATCCCCTCAAAACTTGTGAGATTAATCAAAAGCTGTAATGAAAAATTGATGTGCCAAGTACGTTATTTGGGAGCAACGTCTAAAGTTTTGAACTAAAATAAGGAGGATTAAGACAAGAATCTACGAACAAAAGTCCGGTAAAAAAAGACCCACGAAAAAAAGTCCGATTTATTTATTATACATATGTCGTACAAGAAAACATTTATGTAATTAAAAATAATAGCATTAATTTATAATACAATTATTACAATCAATATTATAGGTAGGTACCTACAGGCTACAATACAAATTAAAATATTAGGTAGGTACATAAAATATGACATTATAATTTTTGAGTCAGATTGATTGTTACTTGCAAATCTTTGATTTTCCATTCGATGGCAAAGGACGTGGGTGTAACATAACATAATACGATATTCAAACAAAGACATAGCACTTAGGTTTTTATTTCCTTAACGCGATTTTTACTAAAAAAATATCTTGATACCTTGACTGCAGAGTGCAGATAATACTTTTTTCTATTGTTTTGTTAATTTTTGTCAAATAATTGTAAATTGATGCCTGATGGTATAAGTCATCATTATCAGTTATACCAATCTCACATAAAGCGTCTGATCATTTTTGTTTAATTTTTGTTGCATTTTTTTTCCAGCTTGGTAGTCACAAGACTATTATGTTTATAATAAATATAGGTGATTGATTCGTGCCACGTTTGGATTTTTGTGAACGAATTGTTTTCCTGATTTAGTTTTTGTTTGTTTTAATTGTCCGTAATTGGCGATTACTTACCGTTGTTCAAGGTATTTTATAATTGTATGTATAATATATACTATTTATATTATGCATCAATTTATTTATTGCTAATTATTTTTTGTACTCGTAATAAAAAATAGTCAGGTACCTACGTTAGAATATAGTTTTTTCTATTTTTGTTCAGTGTCTTAGATTTTATATACGCAACGCTTGATATTTTTCTATCATATAGTGAAACATTTTGTGTAACTATATTAATAATTGTTTAAAGTAATTTAATTTTTATTTTAGGTAGATGCCTTATTATTTTGATAAGTGGGTACAGTAAGAATTTCTTTTTTTTTTTAAATTCTCAAAGTTTTAACTTAATTCAAGTTTCTTCTGGATACTATACTCTCGATGTTGATCAATGAAGCATTTTAACTACTCCGAAATGTGGCAAGTGGCAACAGATATTAAAAAAAAAACCATTCTTTATTATAAACTTTTAACCAATATGTTATTCAACGTTTGAAATTCAAAAAACGTATACAAATATAGTAAGACATTTAATTTTATTTSAATACCTGGATACCTGGATTACCTGGGTAACCTGAATGAAAAAAATAACGAAAAAAAAGTCAATGATTATAAATATTGTAAATTAGATATATTATTTAGATTTGGTGATAAAAAATAAAAATAAATAATAAAATATTTAAAAAATAATTATTAAGTAAATAATTAAGTAACCATAGAAAGTGTCATCAATGGGGTGGCTCCTTTTKTCAAATTATTTTCCTGTGAATGTACTCTTAGCACATATTCTTATTGTATTAATGATACAGATTGTATAGGCATTACTTGTGAAAAAAAAGATTGATGATAAGTGCATACTTTTTATTGTTTTATTTATGGTTATACTTATACTAAAATCCATGGTGATATATAAATCAGTTGTACAGAATACGGAGTATATCTAGGTTTTATTTTAATATCGTTTGTAAGTGAAAAGAGTACAAAAAGAGTTTTGGTGTACTCTTAGTTGCCTGTTTATGATTTATATAATAACGCATAATATATATATATATATATATATAATTGTAAAATATTATGTACATTTATTTATGTCATCCTAGATTCATAGCAATGCAAAAGATTGATTGAGTTTACAGATTGTTTAATTTTGATTTTGTACGTATCACGTATGTATGTAATTTATGTTTTAAACTGTAAATAAAGTTGGAATAGGTAGATTTTCGGTATTCGATTTATTGTAGGTACATATTTTGTAGAGATCAAATGATACTTAACAAGTTTATTCAATCTGTCCAAAATTGTGGTAAATAAATACAATTAACTACGCTTTTGTCGCAAGCGTGCGTAACGCGAATAAAATATATCGATGATGTAATGAATGAAGTACCTAACTTTGAGCGATAAATTACTCAGTTTTAAATTATTGTGCGTGCATTTGAAGAAAAGTTTCGTGAATAAATAGCATGTATAAATATACATATTGTMCTGATTATAAACTCTCGAAAATAAAATAATTGTACTCAAGATAAGTTGTCTGGTAGAGATACCAAAATATAGAATACGCTATTACCAGCATTAAACTTTTACCTATAAATCAATGAGCTTACTAGATATTTTTGATTTTTATTGTGTATTGGTATTACATTAATTGTATTTTACTAATTGTATATTTTATTGAGGCACTAACATTTTATAAGTAACTATATTTCAATATTTGGTTAGTAATGAAGGTTAAATTTGTTTAGTGTTGTGTTGTTTATTGATTAATTTGAGCTATTCAAAGCAAGTAGAAACCAACACAGAAGTGAGGATGTAATTATGAACCAGTCTTAGTTTTGTACGACCAAAAATATGTATTATGTTGAAGAAGTCATATTGTAAAACACAATATCTATGTGAACAAAAGATATTTAAAACCCAAAAAATTATAATTATAATCGATTTTTGTGTTTTTTTTTCTAATCGTAATTCAAGTAGCTACTTAGGAACTCTATTTATACTATGTCTGTATGTATAAACAAGGCTGATTGTTTTATTTTTATGTTTATTCTATATGTTATCTTCGTATTGCGACTAATTGCAACGTCGTGCGGGTCGTCAGTTTCGTTAAAGTGTGTTACGTTCACTCATCGAATTTCCAGCTAGTCATAATTTTGCATTATCATCTTAGAGTATCTTCGTGTCTTATAAACAGTAATATATTGCTACAGTAGTACAGTATCGTCGTTTGTTCTCATACCGATTAAAATGAAATCGTCTGTTATGGACAGATTTTGTGGATCGACTTTTTGGGTAAGTTTCGATTTTAGATTCTGAGTGGAGCGAAGAATGTATTGATTTTACTATGATGTTTTTTGTGTCTGTCATCACGTTTTGGGGCAGTAAAAGTGCTTCGATTTTTAACTTCAGTACCTCGTTCGATCAGAA